AGGAGAGACAGGTGGAAGAAAGACAGGTGGAGGAGAGACAGGTGGAGGATAACTAAATGTTAATCTCTTCTTCTTCTGTAGAAACGAGCTCGTGGTGTTCAGCTGTTTGACAAAGTTTGTGAACACGTCAACCTGCTGGAGAGAGACTACTTTGCTTTGTCCTTCAGAGACATGGACAACAACAAGGTACCCGTCTGTCTTTCTGTGTGTCTGTCTGCCTGTCTCTGCCTGTCTGTCTCTCTGTCTGTCTCTCTGATCTCTGTCCTTTACCTCTTGTCTCATAGAACTGGTTGGATCCAGCAAAGGAGATGAAGAAGCAGGTCAGAGGTCAGTAGCCCCGCCCCCTTTTCACTGGTGGGCGGGGCATTAAAATGTGATCTTTGGTTAACAGGCTAAGTGGTTAGTTCAGGTTTACAGGTAATCTGATCGTTAAATTGAGTCATTTAAAATCGATAAATTAGAGATTAATATTGAATTAAATGATGAAATGCTTCCCCCTCGCTGTCTCTCAGGTGTTCCCTGGAACTTCTCCTTTAATGTCAAGTTTTACCCCCCTGACCCCGCCCAGCTCTCTGAGGACATTACCAGGTAGATCCACTCATCTGTCAATCAGAGATCAATACCAACATGTTGTCACCTGTTTAGACACCTGAGAGAGTCCCCCCCCCCTTTCTGTTTGCAGGTACTTCCTGTGTCTCCAGCTCAGACAGGATATAGTTTCTGGACATCTCCCGTGTTCCTTTGCGACTCATACCGTCCTCAGCTCGTACACCGTCCAATCAGAGCTCGGAGACTACGATCCTGGTACTTCAAATGAAGATACCCGATTACACCCTAAAACATCCTGCCAGAGCCTTCTGTGATGTACCCTTACCTTGCTGTACCTTCTCTGACATTCCCTACAATACCCTGCTATACCCTTCTCTGACATACCCTACTGTACCCTGCTGTACTCTTCTCTGACATTCCCTAACATACCATTCTGTACCCTCTCTGACATACACTACAATACCCTGCTGTACCCTCTCTGACATACCCTACCTTACCCTACTGTACCCTCTCTGACATATCCTACCATACGCTGCTGTACCCTTCTCTGACATACCCTACCATATCCTGCTGTACTCTTCTCTGACACCCTACCATACTCTGATGTACCCTCTCTGACATACCCTACCATACTTTGCTGTACCCTCTACCCTTCTCTGACATACCCTACTGTACCCTGCTGTACTCTTCTCTGACATACCCAGCTGTACTCTTCTCTGACATACCCTACCATACCTTGCTGTACCCTCTCTGACATACCCTACTTTACCCTACTGTACCCTGCTGTACCCTCTCTGACATACCCTACCATACCCTGCTGTACCCTCTCTGACATACCTTACCATACCATGTTGTACCCTCTCTGACATACCCTACCATACCCTGCTGTACCCTTCTCTGATATACCCTACCATACCCTACCATACCTTGCTGTACCCTTCTCTGACATACCCTACCATACCGTACTGTACCTTGCTGTACCCTTCTCTGATATACCCTACCATACCCTGCTTTACGCTCTCTGACATACCCTACCATACCCTGCTGTCTGTCTCTGACCACCTTTCTGTCTCTCTCTCTGTATATTTCAGATGAGTGTGGTTCAGATTACGTCAGTGAACTCTGTTTCGCTCCAAATCAAACCAAAGAGATGGAGGAGAAGATCATTGAGCTGCACAAGACTTACAGGTTCTCACATTTAATTAAATGTTAACGTCAATTTTAAGAAGAAAAACAAACCCAAACAAATAACAGCTGTTAAAACTAGATTTGTGTGTTTAGAGGAATGACACCAGTTGAAGCAGAGATGCACTTCCTGGACAACGTGAAGAAACTTTCTATGTACGGAGTCGACCTTCATCACGCAAAGGTAAAAACACACAACATGAAGATGAAATAAAGAAATCAACACAATAAGACACGATGCAGGCTGCATGAGTAAACATCTCCACCATCATTTCACTTCATCTGAGTTCTGTCAAACCTTTAATGGAGGAACCTGTCCCAGGTGTCCTGAGGGGGCGGAGCTTCAGGGTTCTTTAATCTGGGAAAAGTGAAAGAATGATGATGAAAAAAGAGCTTCAGTCTAAATGATTATAAAACAGTACTTGATGTTTAGACTTACACATAGTATTAGTAGTAGCAGTCTCCTGTTTATATTAAACATCTTTTTGAATTATTGGACACACGTTAACTTTGGATAGATAATGTAGTTACTTATCATACGACTTTTTCATAGAAATATACATATAAATATATATATACATATAAATATTTAAATGTACATATTTATATATATATATATATATATATATATATATATATATATATATATATGTATATAAATGAATATATCATTAAATATTTACAAATATAGAATCCTTTGCCCTTAATACAGACATCAGTGTGCTGCTGATGTTCTGATTCTCAACAATCTGATCAATACATGACACACTTCCTGTCCTGATCAATCGTTTCTGTGTGTGTGTGTGTGTGTGTGTGTGTGTGTGTGTGTGTGTGTGTGT